TCCATCAACCTTTCAAATGTTGCTGGAGCATTGCATAATCCAAACGGCATGACTTTAAATTGCCACAGACCCTTTCCTGTGGAGAATGCAATGAATTTTGTCCTTGTCCTTAGGGTCAATTTCAACCTGCCAGTAGCCACTTTCCAGGTCCAGCGTACTAAACCACTTTACGCCTGTAAGGATGTCCAGCGTGTCATCAATTCTTGGCAAGGGATAGATTTTCTTCTTCGTAACGTCATTCAGGCGGCGGTAGTCAACACAAAACCGCATCCTGCCGTCCTTCTTCTTTACCAGCACCATAGGTGAACACCATGGACTAGATGAAGGTTCAATAACACCATCCTTCACCATTCCCTCAATCATGGTTTCCACTTCCTTTTCACGTGCTACAGGCAATCTTCTTGGCCGCTGACGAATAGGCAATTCTTGTACTGTGTTTATTTTGTGTTGAACTAAGTCAGTGTTTCCTATGTCAGCTTCGTTTGACGAGAAAACATTGGCGTACTTGACTAACAACTTCTTCACTTTGACCATTTCATTCGGGGAGAGAACGCTGCGACAGTCTTCTAAAAGTGTGGTCACTCTAGTTTGTCCATCCTTGCTGGTCCCAGTCGATAGATATGGCACTGACGCAACCAATCCACTTCCTCACTAGTACCAACCAATGTGCCTTTTTCTATAATCTGTTCCTGATCACAAAGTACACACGTATTCCTGAGATGTCGGCGGTTCTGACCAAGGTTCGAGCCACTTTCCATGGAAGGTCATTGTCTACCCTTTCCACGAGTACACAACGAAGAGTTTGCCCAGGATTCCGTGGAAGTCTAACCGGCACAATCGTTTCCGATCTCGGCGGAAGAACAATCTTCTTAAGGCTGTACACATTGCCTGGTAACGCCCCTTCCACAAAAAGTTCCTCTTGTCCATATTTCAAAACACCTTGCTTAACGTCGATCTCACAAAAATTCTTCCGCATAAAGTCTAGGCCCAGGATGCAGTCGTCCATTATATCAGCCACGATGACATTATGCAGGTAGATCATGTTGCCTAGCTTCAACTCCATCTCCTTCTCTCCACGGACGGGTATGCGCTGACCGGTGGCTGTCACCAAATTAATGCGTTCTCGGTTGTGTGCGGAGTCCCCAAGGAACCGACTTATAAGTTGGGAACTGACAACCGTGCGAGAGGCGCCAGTGTCTATCGTCAGTTTACACGGCGTTCCGTTGACTTCGCCCTTGATGATTAGGCTGTTCCCATCATGGGTTGGTGATATCTAAATCCTTGGGGCTCTTTTAACATCAGCCAGTCCTGACTTTTAGTCGTTTCCCTGCTGCTATTGGGCGGTGCTATTATCCGCACTCTCGAGATCGATCACCTTCCCTTTCTACAGTTCGCTTAGGGCAGCTGGATCGAAGATGGCCCCTTTCCCCACAGCCGTAGCACCTAGGGCTGTAGCCCTTATTACGGTCCTGAACTGTAGCTGCCGCAACCTCCCTGACGCGGTGGGAACGATGAACCTGCCGCACGGATTCCACCTCCATTCCACCTGCATGGGTCAAGGCGTCCTTAAGCGTCTCGTGGTGCCCGAGCCTCACAGCAGCTCTGACTTCAAGGTCGCGGATGCCGTCGATGAATGTCTGCACCAGGTTCCCTACAATGAGTTGCAGCTATGCAATCAGAGGTGTCTATTTCCTATAGTATCTATCAAGATATGGTTTCCTACTTGAAGGAATATTAGTCAGAAATTCAAAAAAGTTTCAATGATGTGAGAAATATTGAGAAATGTTTTATTTTTGTAGAAAACCTTTGGCATTTTGAGACAATGACGTAATTTTATTTAGTCAGTTTGGATTTTCTAAGAGTCAGTTGATAAATGAACTCATTAAACTAAAGTCCGACACAGAACTCAAAGCTCATTTCATTAAACATCGCGAAAAGTAGGAACTCATTGAATTTTGGAAAAATGTGCCTCATAACTAAAAAATAGTTTACGAGACTGTGCACAATTTATTTTGACAATATTTTCTTCGAAATATCTTTGTGACGTTTCATTTTTCAAAATTGCCTTTCTGGTCATTTAGAAAACACAATTAGAATCACATGTAGCCCCAAAGACGCCAACATGGAAGAAATAATTGAAAAACGAAAACACCATAACACTTAAATTACATGATACTAGTAGTTAAAAATAACTTGATAATAATGTTTATGTACTTATGTTAAAATAAAAAATACTGATATACTTTACTATCTATTTTCACTTTATGTAAAGTCCATTTGATTAGAAACGATCGCCTTTATATTGCGCAGCCTTGGCACGTGTCGCCTCTTGTCAAAGGATGTCGCATAATTACGCATAACTATAAATATAATAATAGTTGACGGCACGTCTGGTCTACTGGTTGGTGGTCACCTCACCACTACCGTTGCGCCGGGTGTTATGTATGTAGTATCAACCCCTGTCAACCTATCACACAAATGTGATTTAGGGTGAGTGGGGGGAAGATTGAACGGTTTTTGATGAGATGAGCAGTGTTGTGTTTGACGTCTTGTAGAACAGTACATATCAACTTAAGCTAAAATTATATCTATAGTGAATAAAGTACAAAGAGCATATTTTTATGTCATATCGATAAATCCCTGTTATATTTATTCGAAAGCAAAAAAAAATATTTACAATGTTTTTATCGAAAGAAAAAAACAGGGGGAAAGATGAAAGGGTGGTGAGGTAAGATTGAAGTAGTTTCTAAAATCATTCAAATTAATGTCAGACGATAATGAGGGTCAGTAGGCTACAATTTTAATTGTCCTGACACTTCAGAACTGTTTATAATATCTAAATACCTTCAAATAACACAGATAACACAAATTATTTGATTTTTATATTTCAATCTTGCCCCGCCGGGGAAAGATTGAACTAGAGTTTCTCAAACTTTTCACTTTACTTGGATAAGATTATGCAGAAAATGAAAGATATCAATCATATAATTTTTTTTATTGTTAATGCCAAGATATTTTTAAACATACATGTACCTCTTACCATTTTGGTCAACAAAATATGTAGCACAAAACGTAAAAAATCTAATATTTCAAAATTAAACAGCTAACCAATTAATAAGATCTTAGAAAAATGCCACAACTAAAAACATAGAAAAACTTCTAAAAAAATATTATCTAAACATTAATAAAAAATTTGTAGTAGATCCACGTCTACAGTTCACTGTAACACATAAATGAGCAGGGTCGACCGGTGCGATACTACCCTCTCACAGAAAATCAGCGTGAAGTGTTTAGCTTCTTAGTGGTTGTCATGTTTCGTCTGGTGAGTGAAAGTTCCGGATGCCCGTTCCTTTTCCCCTTTTCTTAAGGCCACCCGAATGTTGAAGTTTGCTAGATAAACCGATGTGACGTTGCATTGTTCTAGGAGCTGTGATGTTGCATTTACTAACGAGTGTCTGGTGGTCTTTCCCCTTTCTTTAAGTTCCTACTCTCATTCCTACGAATCCTGTTCCTATACCTTATGAGAAGGCAACGCATAAGTAACACTCCTGTTGTTTCTTGTGTCTATGGGCAGCGGTGAAATCACTTAGCCATCAGGTGAACCGCTTACTCTTTTTGCCTCTCTTATAATATACAAAAATTAAAATAAATACCTTTAGATAATATTAGCTGAAATTGTGCCGCTGACAATTTATATAATGGCTGTAACAAAACAAAACATTTTTTCAGGTACAGTTTGAGAACATGAGACCACTTGTATGACTTTTGAAAACGGGGCAAGATGGAAACTTTTATATGTTTATCTTACCCCGTCAAATATTGGCGGGTAAAGACGGAATGTTACAATAAATCCTAAAATCCAAAAAGTAGCGATATTTAAATATAGCAACATAACTACCAATTAAAAATAATAAGTATGTATACAAATAAAAAACTCGTACCTACCTCGTAAATCAAGTTACACGACACGGGGTAAGATTAAAACACCCGACTTGCTCGCGTAAAATTCACAGCGTAGATATTCCCTTATAACACACAACCGATCCCTCAAAACGACAAATGCCGACGACAAGTGTGGTACGTAACAAAATGGCGGTCCTATGAATATTACCTGCATTGGATACATTACACATAATCTGTTTTTACTGATGCGTTTTTGTCTTACCCCGTTTTTCATCTTCCCCCCACTCACCCTAGTAGGGTGAGATATTTGTTTGGTGTGCTTTTTGTGTCTGTTCATTGTATGCTATTTAGTTCATTGAGTTGGCAAATAAAGACTTCACATTAGTTTCATTACATTCATTACATTAATTGCCATAAAAAACCTTGCGGGCAATCGGGTTTTGACAGCTCACCAAAAATATGTCAATTGATTGGTGGTGTCAAGTAAACACTCCAAGAATGTGCGTCCCGCCTAAATACCTCACATTGTCCTACGTGGCCCTTGATCAGATAAGTGTGACGACCACTGGTCTAGATGGATCAAGTCTTTTAAAAGTTGGAACAGGTGCAACCTAGTCTCGTTTAATACCTAGTGCCTGGATCTGTTCTAGTATATACGCTTCATCTCTACTTTAGAGTAACATGTAACTACTATAAATAAGCACACAGCACAGAATGGCTTAAAACACTAGCATCCAAACCAAATGTCTTAATTAAAAAAACACAGCACAGAAAAAATATAGCATAAAAATAAAAACCAGTAAACCTATATTTATCTATGCAGTAAACCAGTATGTAGTAATTTGTGTTGTGTTGTTTCCCATTTTCATAGAATTAATATAAATTGAAAAAAATATTCTCTCGTTACAGAATAATTTATTTCTTTTGCATATTGAGTGTTTAATGGAAATTCATATAAATTGGAAATATGATTTTAAAAATGCTCCACTGTTTTAAATTCAACTCTTAGATAATTTGTGCTTCCTGCTTGAGATGTTACCTTATAACAGATTTATAATTTTAATTTTGAAAAGATAGCTTCGCAGATATCTCTGAATATGGATTCAGGAACTGAGTGGCTTTGTGAAATTTTAAAAAATGTCCAACTTGAACAATTTTATTTGCCAATAAGAGATCAATTGCAGGTAAACAATAAAAACAAAGGGGGTATTTAAGCATAAATAGATTATGCAGCATTCAAAATATTTTGTTTTATTTTAGATAACAAGATTAGCCCATTTTGACTATGTGCATGCAGATGATCTTGAAAAAATTGGTATCAGCAAGCCTGGAGTGCGTAGACTATTCGATGCTGTAAGGAAGAAGAAACTTCAACTTTGGAATCGAAAGTTTTGGAACAAACTTTTTGGTTCATCAAGTTCAGTTACTCGTGAAAAAACAGATTTGCCCGTAAGACAGCTGGTCCAGACTGAAACAAGATCTACTACATGTATTATATTAGAAAAAGATATTGTGTAAGTAATAGTTGTTTTAATTAACCCTCATCACATAGAGAGCTTGTAGAGCTTAAAATTATATATTTTACACAAGAAAATATTTTGCATGTTTACAAGTTAGGCATTTTGCATAATACTTTTTCTAAAGCTTGGACAAGATGTATGTATCTGTATGCCCAGCACAATTATTAGGGAAATGAAATTTTTTATCATAAATAGTATAAAACAAAGTAGCCTCTGCTGTTTGTAAGCTTAGATCATTTAAACTATGAAATAAATTTTGATGCCTTTTTCATTAATAAACAGAATGGTTCAAGAGGAAGGTTTATATGTATAATCCATGCATATTATATATCATATAGTTCTTCTGTTGTGTATGTGACTGAACTCCTCCTAAATAGTTGGATCAATTTTGATGAAATTTTGTATGTGTGATTAAGTTGATTAGAGAAAGGTTTAGATTTACAATTAGACTGTGTAAAGTTGGGGCAGGTTGCTGGTTTTTATTATAAGGATGTCAATCAATATAGCATTCAACAATAATACAAATAAATATTCAAATCTAAATTTGTAAGTAATTGTTTGTTTGAAAATTAGTTTCTTTTTGGCAGATTATATAATGAATTAGGTAATGGATCGTTTGGTGTAGTGAAACGAGGAGAATGGAGAGTATCTGACGTAACAAACCAGTTGGTGCCTGTAGCAGTAAAGGTACTTAAAGCTGATGCCTTTTCACAACCTGGAATCTATGATGACTTTAGAAGAGAAGTAGAAGCAATGCATAGCTTAAAACATCCTAATTTAATAAAATTACATGGAGTGGTTTTCCATCCATTAATGATGGTGTGTGAATTGGCAAATATGGGTGCTTTATTAGATTATATTAGAGCACAAAATTGCAAAGTCTCATTAAATTACATATCCAAATGGTCTGGGCAAGTTGCAGCTGGAATGGCATATTTGGAAAAATGCAGATTTTTACACAGGGATTTGGCTTGCAGAAATATTCTTTTATCTAGCTTAGACCTGGTGAGTACTTATTATCTTTTGCTTATATAAATATAAACTTTCCATTGTTTTTCTTCTTTACAGAGGCTTGAAATGTTAAATAAAAAAAAAACTATTTTAATAAAGTCCACTACAGCATGTATATGATTCCCTCACTATAGTAACATTGTTACTATTAGGAGTTGGTCCAATATGTAAGCTTAATTTTAAGTTTATTCTTTCTTTTTCTTATATATCACCACACATATATGAAAAGAAACAATATATATAATAATTTGTGATACAATTTTTGATTGTGTTTTATTTAATCCACTTTAATATAATGATCACAACATATTACAACAGTGCTGTCATAATATTATGTTGTGTGCTTACTTTTTTATAAACTTCTGACTATTATTTCATTAACACCATCTTCAAAGCAATTCATTTTTTTATTGTATATTATATTACTGTATTTTATGTTATATCAATTTATCTAACCATATAGAATAAATTTTAGTAATGACCTTATTATTTAAAGAATGATGCCCAATGGATCAATAAGCTAAAGTGGCAATAGGCTGACAACCAATGGGTAAAAAAGGGTCTCGAGTGGCAGGCCTTACTAATAAGCCAAGTGTAGGGCATTCTTCTACTAGCTAGAGTAACAATTTAGTAAGAGATACAGATTGGATGTAGGTGGCTCAGGACCGTGCTTTGTATAAGGAATGCTTAGGGTTGGCCTATTTTCTACAGTGGATTTGTGATATGTTGTAATGTTGATGATGAAATAGCAAATACAAATTTAGACTAAGGGAAGGATATCTCAATAGCTTATTTAATGTTAAGTAATACTATAACTTTTATTGACTTAGGTAAAAATTGGTGACTTTGGACTTATGAGAGCATTACCAGATGCAGACGATTGTTATGTGATGAGTGAAAGGCGAAGAGTTCCATTCCCTTGGTGTGCTCCGGAATCATTACGTTCACGACAGTTCTCCCATGCCTCTGATGTATGGATGTTTGCCGTTGCTCTTTGGGAGATGTATTCCTTTGGTGAAGAGCCATGGATGGGTAAGTGTTTATATAATCAAACCTATTAAAATTTATTTTTATATGTTATTTTTTAAACTTAAGTTCAAATATATAAATAATGATATACTGTTATTGCAGTTTTTGAAAATACGAGTAGATAACGCTTCTACTTTTATTTGAAATTATCCCAAATTGAATGTGATTTATGGGCAACAACTACGCGTACGCATGCTCCTTTGTATGTGATTCAATTTATAATGTTTTTGCCGACCAATCGACCCTTACGAATGTGTGCGTACGTAGTAAAATAGTAGGCGTTATATATTTATGAATGATAATCAGTTGAAATAATACATTACCACGCATTTTGAATTTAAAAGATAAAAAGGAAGAATGTTTGAGATATATTTAAATTAATTTTTCTGCACCATTTCCCTATATTACTTATCTTGAACCTTATACGTAAATTTGGCCGGTTATTGCAAAATAACCCTGTATTGTTTTGCGTAGACTATGACACTCAAATATAAAGGAAAGACATGACTAGATCTAAATAGATTTTTAGGTACAGCAACAAATAAACATTTCTTATGTTTTCAACTGCTGTTCAATTTGTTAGGTTTAAATGGTTCGGAGATCCTCCGTCTGATAATGAGGGAAGGTCAACGGTTGTCAGCGCCAGCGGCTTGCCCACCTGACGTGTACATGCTGATGATGCAGTGCTGGGATCTCAATCCTAAAGAAAGGCCCACCTTTGCTGGTATTCAGCGGTATATGGAGACTAACAAATTTGAAACTGCTATTGCCGCATTGAGGTAGGTACATGTAATTATGTGTTTACCTTGGTTAAGGATTAGTAGAGAAAGTGTAGGTTATTTATTTAATTGGTCTCTTATTATCAACTTTTAGTCACTTCATTGCTAGTTCAAGTATATTCTAAAGTTTTAAGACTTGCTGAAATTGTGTCTTACATTTTATATAGAATAGAATAGAATCATTTTTATTGAATATAGATTACAATATATAATACTTATTGAAAGTCATTTTTTGCTTTTACCACTGGTTCGCAAAAAAACCTCTGTCCTGAGATGAACCAGCAAGAAACCCAGCGGGACTTTTTTTTAAGAGCACAATTTACAAATATTATTTTATACAATTGTAATGAAAACATTTAGAAACAGCATGGTAGCAATCACCTCATTCCCAGGGGTTATTATCAGTTGTGTACTCTTTAGTAGTATAATAACCCTTACTAGACAATTTTTGCTTAATAAATAATTTAAACATTTTGATAGAAAAGGTCTGCACATTTTCTGGGACTTTGTTGTAAAAGCGTATACATTGCCCCATGAAGGAATTACTCACTTTTTGAAGTCGAGTATGTAGCATGTAACATGTTTCATTAGTTTTTGATGCCAAATTTGGTTTAAAAAACTCCAAAAAGCTGTATACAGAAGCCAAAAGTTTTCCTGACATTCTTAAGAGGTGTTGATTGTACCATTCAACAGAGGGGTTTTTAGATATGGGAGGATAGTTTAGATATTCAAAATTCTGTTTCTTAAATATTTGTTTCGAATTTATTCCTTAATTTTTATTGGTTTTATTGCATTTGTTATGAGGACCCTTATCCTACAAAAAAAAGGAGCATAAGGTCTAAAAATCTAATTTCTTCTGCCCAATTATACAATTTTTTTTTTAAATTTAACATTAAAAATTCTTATTCTTATATATATTTTTTTCATTAATGGTTTTATTGCATCTGTCATGAGAAGAATGCATAAGTTTTGGAAAAGTTTTGTTTGCATAAGTTCTAGAAATCTAACTTCATCCTCCCAATTACACATTTTTTAAAAATTTTAACATAGTTAAAATTTATAAATACACCTTTATTACTATGACCAATGTTTGTTTTATTTTAGCTACCATAAACAGGGTCAGATGACAGTAGAGGCAGGTGATGCGATTATTTTGATTGACAAGAGACCAGAACTGCATTGGTGGAAAGGTCAGAATCAGCGAACACTTGAAGTCGGACTTTTTCCTAGGTGAGGGTTTATTGATTTTTTTGGTAAACAAATTAGGTATCAGGGTAAGAATCAGCAAACCCTTGAAGTCGGACTTTTACCAAGAATATGTTGCATTCATTCAAGGTCAAAGTATTAGTAGAAAATAGCAATTCATACCCATGAGAATAAGATATGTATTGATTCAATTCAATTGAAGTCAAGACAAACAAATTAATTTGCTGCATTATTTAAAACCATCTCTCAACCCACTTGGCTACGAGGCGAGGTTAAGGCCAGGTTAGACAAATATCGTATTATATACGATTTCGACTCGCGAGATTTGATACTTCTTGAAATAGTACATATACTTCGAAATAAAATATGTACATACATTAATACTCAGTTAAATTCTTAATTAAATGATTTTGCAATAATTTATAATAATCGAGATAAAAATATATAATTTAATTGCGGAAATAAATTGATCTTAAGATTTATATTATAATATTTTTCAAAAATATGAAGGGAGGTTATAGAATTAGATTATTTATCACCTACATTTTTATTAAAGTCCTTTATTTTTTTAATAATAAACAAAAACGTTTCAAATAAAGTAATTTTAGCCACCGAAGTCGCACGCTTATTTCGTCCTGGGAAGGAAGGAGCAGTGCGTGCAGCAAAGGGAGGAAAGCCTCGCATTAAGAACGGCTAGTCATAGGGATTAGATTAAATAGTTACTTTAATTTTAATGACATCCTAGAGAGTCATAGCTAGTCCACACAACGCCTGTCCTGCTGAGCATTGCCGCTGGAAATTGATAAATTTATACAACAAATATTGTTAGAAGAAAAACCTAAAAGTTTGACAGTAGTTTATAAAAATTCATCATTATCATTACAGCCCTTCATAAGTCCACTGCTAAACATAGGCCTCCCCGAAGGAATGCCACAAAGCACGGTCCTGAGCCACCTGCATCCATCGACTTCCTGCATATCTTACCAGGTCGTCACTCCATCGAGTGGGGGGTCGCCCTACACTTCGCCTACTGGTACGAGGCTGCCACTCGAGAACCTTTCTTCCCCATCGGTTTTCGGTTCTTCGAGCTATATGACCGGCCCATTGCCACTTCTGCTTACTAATTCGTTGGGCTATATCGGTTACTCTGGCTTTACTGCAGATATCCTCGTATAAAAATTAACTTTTGATAAATAGTAAAAGTCGACTACAGGCTATAGCCGAAGTAAAACAGTAAACAAAAACTAGAATGCCCTTAACACTTTTCCCATAGTTACTTCTGACGACATCCATGATATCCAACTGTGTTCAAGTGAGGTTATGGATTCTCTAAAGCTTAAGTGGCTGGTCACAAAGTCGATTCATAGTATACCATGTCACTGTGTGGCCAGCCTACTAATAAAATTTAAAATTTGTATTATAAATTAAAAACCAAATATTGAGGTCATATTTATTATTTTTTTCTAGTACACTAGTAAACATCGGAAAAAGCAAAAATGTACAGTCAACGAAAAAAGCCCAAACAAGCTCTCCAATGAAAAAAGGTGAGTTATTTTCATTGCTTTTATTGAATTTTTCATACCTGTGCATGTCTGAGGGATAATATATTTTCGAGGAAATGAGAACACGCATGGAACATTTTTCTCCTTAACCTTTTCACAAATGAGAGGAGGACTGCAGTACAGCAGCAAAGAAATTTATTTATTTATTTATTTAATAGTTTAGGTACATAGATACTTTGATAGGAAAATGGTAAAAAGAACACATGTACAAAAGCACTGCTTAAACATAAGAACATAGATACCGATTTTAAACATAGATACCGTTTTAGCATCACGAATCCTAAACGGAAGTGAAATCGTACTGCGTTAACAGAAAAAGAATGAGAATAGAGTTGGTTCTTGAAAGACGAAAATTTTAAGTGTTCTAGTATTTGATCTAAATGATACTTTAAGAGAATGAACAAAAGTAAAACTTATTTTTAGATATGGTAAAATATTGAAAAGGAGACAGAGTATTTGAGAAATGTTATGTTTTCTACCTCTATATTGCTTGCTTCGTAAATATTTTTGTATGGAAAGCAAATTTTAAACAATTCTACTAAAAGATACACATAAACAAATATCTCATAATGCTTTGACAGGACAAATTAATGTATTTACGTAACGTGTTTTGTTGATTGCGTTAATTCATTTAATCCATGTTACTCGGGCTTAGCACGAATATTTCTTAAGGACTGATTTTGTTGGCAGTTGAGATGAATATTAGGTACATATAATATATATATCTATATATAAAAAGCAGTTGCTGTCCGTTAGTCTCGCTAAAACTAGAAACTGTCTCGACCGATTCTGATGACATTTTTTGTGTGTATTTGAGTGGGTCTCCGGATAGCTTAGATTCACAATTGGACCCGTTAGGTGGCTTTGGTGTCGAGAAATCACCAGCTAGCTGACTGGGTCCAACTATAGCCGAGAACAATCTGGGTGACCCCATATTATGTACCAAATAAAAATGTCATCAAAATTAGAACTCTAATATTTTCTATCTTACTTCTCGTCTTTTCTTGTATCTATCATACTTATCCTCAACTATTATCATCTTGTGTTCTTATTTCACGCCTCACATTGTGAGGGAGTGCTCTACTCTCGATATGTGGCCCATACCTCAATTTCGCTACATAAAATCGTTCTTATACTTTTAGCTAGACATCAAATCCATGTTTGTTATTAACGTTACAATAACTATAGACATTGAAATCACGGAATCACTTGTTGTAAATAAAATTGTAGTGTCATCTGTATCTATATCGAAATAATTGCAATTTATTGAGTTGAGAGGGTTATTTGCATGCTGTTAAGACCTGAATAATCATTTGCTGCTGCGATGTGCTTTTGATGCCCACATGGGATGAGTATTTGCAAGGATCACAATTTTTTTTTACTCTATGCAGTAAATCAATGATAAGACTGCAACGCAAATGGGTCGACTCAACCGCGGAAGGATCACGATCTATAAAATAATAATTAAAGTTGAATTTTGACTTTAGGTCAAATCAATATATCAAAGAATTTGATTAATATCCTTTTTTTGAAATCTGCACCGAAAATACTCTTTCTTTTCATTATTCTAGTGAACAAAAATGTTATTCATAAATAATGTAAACAAGTGGGATGCGGGAAGTAAAGACTGTGTAAAAACCTCCGAAGAATGCGGAGTTATAGCCGAAATAAGAATTTTTAATTTTTTGGTTTTTGGCCATTTTGACCCCGCAGGAGTGTAATGAGAACTTTTCGCCCCTTATCAACCATGACCCCCATGACATCCTCCACGTTATAGGCTATTCAAACTGACTGTGCCTAAAGTCCGAGCCACCCCCCAATTTTTTGATTTTTGGCCATTTTGACCCCCTAGGAGTGTAATGAGAACTTTTGCCCCTATTCAACCATGACCCCCATGACATCCTCTACATGATAGGCTATTTAAACTGACTAGACCTAAAGTTCGATCCACCCCCCAACTCATTTCTAGTCTTTACCTAAAGTCTACTTCCAATCACTTCCAAAATAAACAAAAGTTTATATTTTAATTTATCCCGCATATTCTTTTACTCAGTGAAAACGCTTAATGAAATATTTTTAATGCATACAATCGGTTAATAATTATGCAAGTATTGTAGTTGGTTGTATTGTACGTCGACTAATTTGGTCTGATTACTGCGTTGTTACATATTGTGGTATCGATACGTATTACGATACACTCGTCACGTTACGATTCACTTTCGAGTGATTTTACTAATGGATGCCTGAGTAATATAACGGGTTGAAACAACGCGTTCATCATTATCATCCATTAATATGTGGTAGAGTAATCAGTGTTTGTAATTTTTTGTCGAATGTCGCACGCTTAGGCTGGTCGCATACATTCGTTCAGAACTCCGAAATCCGAACGGGTCGGTCACATACATTCGGAATCCCGTTTTTCCCGCAAAATTACGAACAGAAAACTAGTATGTGGCCGGCCTTCGAATATGCATGCAGCGGAAAGCCTTTTATCGTAGGAAATCCACGCCTTAAGTTGATATTAATTGTCGTCGTCCCGGCGTGCAACGATTCAAAGTTAATCTATACAAATTAATAAAATTGAAGTGTCTGTTTGTAATGTCCAAATAACAGCTTTTTACTAAATGTATATAAAAGTATATACGGTACTTAAAACAAAAAAAAAACAGTTTTTAATTGTTTTTGACTATTTGTATGTCTGTCCGTATGTCTGTCCGTGTGTCTGTCCGCCTGTCTGTTTGTTCCGGCTAATCTTCAAAATGGCTGAACCGATTTTAACGGGACTTTCACTGACAAATAGCTGATGTTACAAGGAGTAACTATGGCTACTTTTACTTTAAAAAAACAATTAGAGTTCCGCGCAAAAAAACCCCATGAAATTCAATTGTGATAAATTCTACGCGGACGTAGTAGCGGAGAACAGCTAAGTATATTGAATATAATTTAGACTTACTCAAAGCTCTCATGAATGAATGTCATTATATGCCACCGTTATTGAAAGATCTTTAAGATTTTGCCGTTGTTGATGAACATTGGTCTCGGCTTCAATGAGACAATCAGAGCACCGCGGCAGAAGTATATGACTTTATTATTTATATATCGCGTATATCTCGTTAGACAGTACAATTTATTGAAAGTCCCATAAAAACCTTTATACGTGGTAGAGCCATGCTGCAGCTATATTATAGTTGTACCACGAATGGGTCGGCTCGACCGGGGAAGGACCACGCTCTCACAGAATATAAGCGTAAAATAGCAGCTTAACGCCCTTTTTACTGGAAACGAGGCATTCTATCTTAGTCCTCACGGGTGACAACGCATCTGCATTTTGATTCTTAATCGAAGATAGATGTAGATGTCTATGGGCCACAGCAACCACTTACCATCAGGTGGTCGGTGTGCTCGTTTGTCACCCATATCCTATAAAAAAAAACCTTAACAGATGCCTACAGATGTCGGCAGCGGCAGCAGACATTAATATTTTTTAACGGCTTGTGCCTTTTGTTTGACTATATTTGCCTCTATTTACGAGTATGAAGACGTTGAATGCGGTTTTATTAGAGGTTTTAGCATTGTATGGGTAATTACTTGGTTTTCTTCTCACGTTTCACACGTTTGTTGCCCAGGGGGTAGACAGAGACTACGGACTTTTTACTACAATTTTGTACAGTCCTGACACACCTCTCTCGCTTCTTTTTTTTTATTAATAAAAACGTTACTCAGACCGTATACCAAGAAGAGTTATTTGTATGCGATACAGATACATGTTTCTGTGCAGGATTTGAACCCGCGGTCCACAGCGCCGCATCCCAATGCTGACCTACCGAGCCAGGAAACCGTTCTTTCATATCCATAGTCCATACATCAAATATACAACATAAACGTACAGTTTTTTATATATATCGATCACATTGCTTGGGTTTATTAACTTCCTTCTGCGTAGCATTGAAAGGAAGTTAATGGTTTTAGCTGGCAGTCTGTTAGTCTGTATGCCGACACGATAACTTCCGTTCCACTGGACCGATTGACTTTAAATTTGGTATGTAGATACCTTGAGGTAGTAGCTCGGTCGAGTTTGAATTTGGGTCCTGTAGGTCAAAGGGCACCAGAGATATGGGATTCACGCAGAAGGAAGTTGTTTTTCTTGAATTTACATTCAACTCGTTTTATATCTCAAAGACACATAATATGTTGCGTTTAATAGTGCTTAGCGTTGTAAGTTAACACTAGACCTTGACAATCGCTAATCTTTATGTAAGCGAATACTTTATCACCGGTGTGTCTAATTCAATTATGAAATATATGGAAGGAAAACTTTACCCGTCTTATTGCAAAACGAAGTTTGTTATTAGTCTTAGATTTAAACCAGGGTTGGTTTTAAGAGAAAATGCCAGTGTAAAATATGCAATCTACAATGTAAGAACCCCGCTGGCACCAAAGAAATTGCTGATTTACCACGTGCTCGGCGGTGAAGAAAAACAACGTGAGGAAACCTGCATGTCTGAGAAATAAAAAAAATATTTCGAAGAAGTGTGAAGTCCCCCAACAAGTATTGGGGCAGCGCGGCGGACACTTCCTTGTCCTAAAACCCTCTCAGAAGTGAGAGGAGGCCTGTGCCCAGCTGTGGTGCTTATATAGGCTGTAACTTTAACTTTTAATATAAGAAGAATGATTGATGATGAATAGAATTTGACAGCAAATGTCAAATTTTACGAACACGGGCTCCGCGGCTAGATAGGTACGTCTTTAGTGATAAAAATACTTATTACTTACTTAAAGCCAAGACTACCAATAATCCACGTTTTTTAAGAGGGTACCTTGAAAATGACTCGTAGTTTAGGGGCGTGCCTTAGCCCTTTGTCGGTGAAGCTCAAGAACGACTGAGGGAGTGTCAAAATGAAAGTGATGCAATTACTTCATATACGTAAATTATGAGATGCATATACGTAATAATGAGCTACACCGAGCACACGCTAGGAACTAAACTAAGTAAGCGTCAAACAACATTTTTTTTTTAACAAAACTTCGTTATGGATTAAAAAAATAGCTTATACTATGCTTTAAAAATAATTCCATTAATTTAATATTCATAAAATATTGTGATTGCATGGAGAAATGTAACTAGTTAGAGCCTACTTTACAATTTTTTTTCTATCGAGAACATTTATCATGTTATCGTTTTTAAAATTCAAATTGAAATTATTGTCTAGTAAATAGGTACAAAAATGTTTTGTTTTGGTGTTATCATAATGTGACCTATTGTAACCTATTTAGCTGTTTTCAACAGCATGCAAATAACTAAAAGGTTTTTTTTTTAAATATAATTATTTACTTATTAAATTTATTCTCTATAATATTTTATGCAATCGAAGGTCATATAGTCAAAAATTATATGTACCAAACATGGTTCGTAATCTATACTTAAAGTAAATATAACTTAAAGAAATATGTGGAATAGAAAAACCACCAAATTTTTGTGGTATCACCATAATAAGATTACAGGCGTTTAAACAAATTGTGGGAATGGTACAGCGTTTATCATTTTTTTTTCAAAGTATTATACGCCGCACCTGTAAACTTGTGTATTTAGTAATAATATTCTTCGAAGAACACACCTTTGTAAGTTTTGTTTCAATTGGTATCATTGATAACATAGATCTAAGAATTATTCATGGAGCAGGAATTTTTGTAACTATACAAAAAATATTGAATTTAATTTAATACATTATTCTGCTTTTGTAGCCACTAAAGATTTGCTATATTTTTTGTATTTCTAAAGTAATAGACAATAACAAGACATAAATCGCTTATTAAAGATTCATGTAAAAATCAGCACGGAGAAAATAATTTAAATTGACCGTGTAGTGGCGGTGTAAGAATATCCACTAGTCTCATATCACGGTGTCGTAATAGGCGACCAAAGGAAACTAATCAGGAGATGCGCTTATAACGACAAAAAAAAAAAAACAGCGGTTGCCAGTCTGCTTGCCAAGCGTATCAACTATGGCATACTTTTATGAGAATCTAAGGTGGAGGCCTGTGTTCAGCAGTATGTAAAAAATAAGAGCTAGTAAATCAGTTTTTACTATTTCATTAATACATAAGTAAATAATGGGACGTTGAATAAATTAAATTTGTTCTTTTAATTGTTTAATCTTTACTTTATAACGTTACTAGCGATCCGCCTCGGCTTCGCACGGGTGATTTCTGCCCACTCAAAAGTACACAAAAAAAAAACATTAAAATCGGTCCAGCCGTTTTCGAGCTTTTGCGAGACTTACGGACAGCAATATAACCGAAGGTGTAACTGATGAATTAATTTCGGCTAAGTTGACTTCAAATTATTACAAATTTTCACGTGCGGTATACCTAACGTGTGATCATTCTTCCTTCTTATAAGCTATTAGTCTCGCTGTCCTCAAATCAATGAATCCAGAAATGTCCCGCTTTAAGGCGATACCCCGATCAAAACCTTGCGATAGTGCGTTTTTCTTCGTTATTCAGAGAATATCATCTCATTAGTTATGAGAAATAAACTACATCTAAAAGTACATTATTAAAGTTCGATATCCTATCACCACATTCCACGTTCTAATTTATTTAGATTTTATATAAAGAGTATAGAGACATTCACCAAACGAAACACAGCAGTGTTAAGCTGTTATTTTACGCTGGTATTCTGTGAGAGCGTGGTCCTTCCCCGGTCGTGCCGACCCATTCGTGCTACAACTATACCAGTAATATAGCTGCAGCATGGCTCTACCACGTATAAATCATTCAGAGTTACCCCAAATATACTTGTTATTGACTGCATTATCCGAAAGACTTATAGAAGATACAACAATTATTAATTTACAATAGTTATCACGTAGTAAATCAGTACTTAAAATTGCAATTAACATTTTCGTTCGCGTCGATAGAAATCGAACCAGGGTTATTCGCGTACTGAAAAGTTTACAGCGAACCTATCAAATTTTTAATAACTATTGCCTTGTAGGGGGCTCGTATTTGACATAGTTAACACACTTGGCGAGGCGAGTTGGCAATGGCAGTTTTTAATATACACTAAACGGTTTAACACATATGTAACAGGTTATTTCTTAATATATCTTGTTATAGCCCAATCACTAACATCATCGTCCCCAACGAACGGTATATCTGACGACTCGGCGGTGGTACTCCGTAAACGACGAACGATAGAGTCGACGCAGCCGTCTAGTACTCGTGCTGGCAACTCGGGCAGCAAACACTTTAACTATAACAAGCTGGTCAATGACAGGGCCGCAACACTTGAAGCTCAACGCATCGCCAGGGAGGCCAGGGATAACCATTCCAAGAGTTTGAATCAAGGTAAGATCTGTAAGAAAAGTGTACAATATTTTTGGAGATGATGGTTGATTTGTGAATACTACCGATACGGCTTACAAAACAGGGTATTTATTGACTTTACATCAATAAAATCCGTGTAGTGGCGGTTAAGAATATCCACTACCCCATATCTTCCCGTGGGTGTCGTAAAAGGCGACAAAGGGAAACAGGCAGGAGATGGGCAGCAGCATCTTCCTGGTAACGGCAAAAATAAAATAAAAAAAACTGCGGTTGCCAACCCGCTCGCCAAGCGTGGCAACTATGGAAATATACCCCCCATGATGAAAGTTACGAAGAGACGGCCCCCAGTCCGCCGCTATTCCTGGCTACGGTGGCGACCATGGTAACGGCGGGGCAGGGGGTGCTAAGAATCTCCGGTGGAGATTCGGTTGCCACCTACGACGACTCGACCTGGCAATGCATGTTGCGCACGCACCCTGAGGACTGACGAGAAGATTGTGGAGCTGGAAGAAGAGATAGACAAGTTACGCTGGCATATTTTAGGATTATCCGAAGTCCGAAGAGAGGGGGAGGACACGGTAATCCTCGAATCCGGCAACTCTATTACCGGGAGGGCGACCATCTGTCCCAAGGAGGTGTCGGATTTATCGTCCACAAGTCTCTCGTTAACAACGTTGTAAAGATTGAGAGTGTGTCGACGAGGGTTGCGTACCTTATACTCAGAATCACCAAACGGTATTCGCTGAAGGTCATACAGGTTTACGCACCAACCTCGGCACACCCCGATCAGGAGGAGGAGGAAATGTATGAGGATATCTCTAGAGCCATGCATTCCTCCAAAACCCAATGTTCGCGCAAAACTCTGTTGTCGGAATCGACACCAGATGTCACTCGGCTCGGCGCGATTCCGGTCTGAAGTTCTTCCGATCCTGGCAGTGGCGCGCGGGTCGCAAGCGGATCAGTCATCTGCCAGATGTGCTAATGTTTGCACGCTGTTAATTTTGTGCGGGAACCGCGGAATAGTTAGGGCGTCTAGTAAATATCCTGTCTAGGAATTATAACGCGCATTCCCTGTTTGGATAGCCTTTCCCGGGACTTATTGGGTCCGACTCAGAATCTGTATAAGTGCATTCGACAATATAAGCTAGTGCGGCCTCGGTATTTAGAACTGTTGCCACGCGAAACGGTAGTGACCTTTGACCTAGAAACTCCGGGCGTGTTTTGTGCGGTAACCTTATACCCCGCGATAGTTAGTGGCTTCTGTAAGCTAGTTAATCGTACGATAGAGTTAAGTGACTGGCATCGTGGTGAACCAAGAAAGTGACTGTGGATAACCTCGAAAGGCCCCCTCAAGTTGGAGCGGTATCGACGCTCGGGCTGCTGCCGACGGCTAAGGTCTAGGTTCAATCACCATCAGTCACACCCAGATACACACCACATCACCATTCTTTCCCTTGCACTACACAACCACATGCGACCTGACCGACTCCGGAGGAACCAGTCGCCTTGGATAGAGGTAAGTGAACTCCGCCAAATTCCTTCCGGTCGACTGGCCGTAGTATAACGCTCCCCCATATATTTAGTGTAATTAGAGAACTTCCACGTGGCCTTAGGAGGCCCGACCTACGTTTGCTCGGGAAGTCTTCTGCTGATGGGCCCCGGGGGATTGGATCCTTTAAGGGAGCAACCGTAGGCCGTAACACCCAATATACGGTGTTAATGGGAGACTTCAATGCAAAACTAGGCACAAGAGAGAACGGTGAGCTGAAAGTGGGGAAATTTGGAATAGGGCAACGGAACCCTAGGGGCCAGCAGGTGGCCGACTTCATAGAGAAAGAGGGACTCTTTATGATGAACTCTTTCTTCCAGAAGCGGCCCCACAGGAAGTGGACCTGGTCGAGCCCCGACGGTTCGACAAAAAATGAGATTGACTTCATTATGACGACCAGACGACAACTGTTCAGTGATGTCTCAGTGATCGCGAGGGTAAAAACCGGCAGCGATCACCGAATGGTTAGAGGCACACTGAACCTAAACGTTAAGTTGGAGAGGTCTCGTCTAATGAAGTCAACGCTCCGTCACCCTCGTGCTCTAATCCAAAGTCCCGAAACCTTTCAGCTCGAGTTACAAAACCGTTTTCAGTGCCTGGAAGACTGCAATGAAGTGGACGATTTGAATGACAAGCTCGTGGAAACTGTCCATGCGGTCGGAGCTAAGTTCTGCAAGACCCGCTGCAGAAGAACACAAAAACTCTCCGATCACACTCTTAATCTCATGGCTGTTAGACGGGAGATGAAGCTACATTCTTCAAAAGATTTGACAGCATACAGGCAACTGAACAGACAGATCTCCAAATGCATGCGGCGGGACTTACGCAACTTCAATACAGCTCGTATTGAAGAAGCGATCGAGCGGAACCAAGGCTCCAAAGTCTTTGCCAGAGATCTGTCTGCCAGAAAGAGCCAACTGTCAAAGCTGAAGATCGAATGTGGCAGCATCGTCTCCGGGGCACCTGAGATTTTGAGTGAGATTGAGAGGTTCTATGGGCAGCTGTACACGTCATCGTTGGAGCCGCACGCAAGTGTGAGTAACGATCCAAGAGCGAGTCTTATCCGACATTATTCCGATAATATCCCGGACGTCAGTCTGAGCGAGATTAGAATGGCTCTCCAGCACCTTAAAAACGACAAGGCCCCAGGTGAGGATGGAATTACAGCGGAGCCTCTGAAAGCGGGTGGAAAATCGGTACTTGAAGTCCTTCAGAAGCTCTTTAATTCCGTCCTCCATGGTGGTATTACACCGGAGGCGTGGAGCAGAAGTGCGGTGGTCTTGTTCTTCAAGAAAGGCGACAACGCTCTCTTGAAGAACTACAGACCGATTTCCCTTCTGAGCCGCGTCTACGTGCTGTTTTCGAGAGTCATTACGAATCGTCTCGCGCGCAGACTTGACGATTTCCAGCCTCCCGAACAAGCCGGTTTCCGAAAAGGCTTTAGCAAATTGTACAGAAGTCCGAGGAGTACAATTTGCCACTATGTCTGGCGTATGTGTACTATGAGAAAGCCTTTGATTCCGTCGAAATTTGGGCGGTGCTGCAGTCCCTTCAGCGATGGCAAGTTGACTGTCGGTATATCGAAGTGTTGAAGTGCTTGTACAGTAGGGCTACGATGGCTATCCGAGTACAGAACCAGAGTACGAAACCTATCCAATTGCAGAGAGGTGTAAGACAGGGTGACGTCATATCCCCGAAACTCTTTACCGCTGCATTGGAAGATGTTTTCAAGCTTCTGGACTGGAAAGGATACGGTATCAACATCAATGGCGAGTACATCACTCACCTTCGATTTGCTGACGATATAGTCCTTATGGCAGAATCGCTGGAGGACCTAAGCACTATGTTCAATGACCTCAATAGTGTTTCCCAACGGATAGGTCTTAAGATGAACATGGACAAAACAAAGATCATGTTTAATGTCCATGTCACACCTATGCCGGTAGTTGTTGGGAATACTAAGCTCGAAGTTGTTGACGAGTATGTTTACCTGGGACAAATAGTCCCGACTAGGTAAGTCCAACTTCGACCGAGAGGTCAATCGACGGATTCAACTCGGTTGGGCAGCGTTCGGGAAATTACGGCACATCTTCTCGTCAGGTATACCTCAAAACTTGAAAACGAGACTGTACACCCAGTGCGTGTTGCCAGTGATGACATACGGAACTGAGACGTGGTCCTTCACTGCTGGCCGGATGAGGAAGCTCAAGGTCGCTCAGCGAGCTATGGAGAGGGCTATGCTCGGAGTTTCTCTGCGTGATAAACTCAGAAATGAGGATATCCGCAGTAGAACCAGAGTGACCGACATAGCCCAACGGATTAGTAAGCTGAATTGGCAATGGGCCGGCCATATAGCTCGAAGAACCGACAACCGATGGGGAAGAAAGGTTCTCGAGTGGCAGCCTCGTACCGGCAGGCGAAGTGTAGGGCGTCCCCCCACTAGATGGAGTGACGACCTGGTAAGATGTGCAGGAGGTCGATGGATGCAGGTGGCTCAGGACCGTGCTTTGTGGCATTCTTTGGGGGAGGCCTATGTTCAGCAGTGGACTTGTGAAGGGCTGTAATGATGATGATGATGATGACATCAATAAAATAAGGCGCCAGAATGATGTCACACATTTATTTTGGTGTGTTTTGTTTATAAAACAAAGTTTTAAATGCAACTTACCCCTAATTTATATTATGTCGAAAAGTTAGTGGTCCATACTAAGAAAATTGGTCAAATGGTCCCTCATGACTAAAAGGTTAAGAATCATTACTTTAGACAGATAATGCCTAAATGTTGGATCTTTTTATTGCAGTAAGGGAAGACTTATTAATAGACTTGGACTTGCCGCCAACAAGACTGAATTCTCCTACCAAAAAACCTATCAGCGATAGGGCCGTGTCTATACTTGATGAACCAATCGATGTGCCCGAAATTGGTGAGTATCCTTTTCACTAGTCCGTAAACAGTCGCCTGTTACAACATTTCTACATGGTAGAGCCATGCTGCAGCTATATTATGGTTGTAGCACGAATGGGTCGGCTCGACCGGGGAAGGATCACGCTCTCACAGAAAACCAGCGTAAAATAGCAGCTTAACGCTGCTGTGTTTCGTATGGTGAGTGTAGAGAACCGGAGACCCTTTTTACTGGCAAAGAGGCATTCCATCTTAGTCCTCACGGGTGACAACGCATCTGCATCTTGAGTCTTTATTGAGGATAGATGTAAATGTCTATGGGTCACAGTAACCACTTACCATCAGGTGGACTGTATGCTCGTTTGTCACCCGAACCTATAAAAAAAAATAGGCTTCTCTCATAGCAAGGAAGACTTGCCGTTTTCACTGCGCTGCAAAATCTCTATTCTCTCATATCATTTTAATCTTTATTTTTTCTTATTTTATTCTACTTTTATTTATTTTAAAAACGTTACCTCCACATTAGGATTTTTCCTGTATTGTGGCAGTGGGGCAGTTTATATACATAAATTTCATAAGGATAAACATACAGATCCGGAACAATTATGTTTATGCAATACAAATACTTATTCCGTGCGGGATTCGAACCCGTGGCCCTTAGCGCTGCCACTAATTGCTAAGTCACTGCGCCACGAAGCCGTCACAGACCGTGGGCGGGCTGCTTTTTTACATTGTTTGGCGTATATAGAAGCCATCCATCGAAGGCAAAAAGATGTCCCGAGCCCCCTTCTTCTTAGTTACTATTTTGACACACATGGCTCGAGATTAAGTGATGAATAAATGTAAACAATATGAAGTTTTTAGCGTGGTGGATGCATAAAATTATATACCATCCCATTTTGTCCCGTGATTTGTGAGACGACGATGGATAATGCCAGAAGGACCTTAATGTCTTCTCTAAATTAAACAGTGGTAGAGACACGCGGCAGCTTTGCTGTCGCACGGATGGGCCGGCTCGAACCGGGGTGGTACCACGACCTCACAGAATACCAGCGTGAAGTAGAGATTTACCTTTGCGTTTCGTTTGGTGAGTGCAGGTGGCCGGAGGCTCTTTTTACTGGAAACGAGGCATTCCATCTTAGTCCTCACGGGTGACAACGCATCTGCATTTTTATTTGTAATAGAGGATAGATGTAGATGTCTATGAGCCGCAGCAACCACTTACCATCAGGTGGACTGTGTGCAGGTTTGTCACCCTATTCCTATAAAAAAAAAATGGTTCCCATAGAGAGTGATAATAAGGCTTTATATAATGTCGCTAGTGTACGCAGCATTATATTATGTTCTATAAAGGATATATACACAGACTTTAGCCTGTTATAGGGGATAAGGGAGAGTTAGGCAACCTTTTTTAAAATGTCGGCCGTGCTCACTCACGGACGAAGCTCTGGCGAGAGATGTTTGGCGACGCAATGTCAAGCCCGGCTACCTTCAGTTTTTCAATATAAATTTTTGGTTCGATTTACGCAGAATGAAGTTAAAGTATCTTGAAGTCTTTCAGTGGTATGCTTGGGTTTGGATTTAAATAAACACCGATTCATACGAAGGATGAGACGCGAGGCTATTGAAATTAAAAAACATCCTAATTTCAATAGAGAAGATGGATGGGTGCTGCCTGAAGGTAGCCTGCCTAATTGTGACATCGGGACGTCAAACATCTCAGTCCCCCCCGTGACCGTGGGTTGCTGTAAAGCACCCAAAACGTTGGGAATCAAAATAGTAAATTAAACGCGATAAAATCGGTAAAAAAATGTTTTATTCAATGTGTATTGTTTTTCTTTTATTATAGTATAAGAATGACAAACAACCTGTCAACCTGATGGTAAGTTGATGCTGTGACCCATGGCCCATAGGCACCTTTGACAACTAAGACTTAGTGCCTCGTGCCCAGTAAAAAGGGTCGTAGGTTCGACAAACGTAATGTGAATGCACGCGCTAACACATGTACAGTTATTCTTCCCACGTGTGTTCGATGTAACGTACACACCTCAAGGTAGAAGATAGACTCCGATACAATTTCATAGACAAGGGGAGGACAATGAAAGTTCTACGTTTTGCAAGAATGTTAAAGAATAATTATATGGGTGTATTAATATTTTTGCCATTGAAATATGTCAATACCAAGTATTTTAATTTTCAGTTCAAGAGTCGGATTGGGGACAGCCGAGTATAGAGAGTTTACCGTCGTACAGCTCGGGTGCGCAAACTCATCCTAATTTATATGGTGCTAAATCATTAGACAATCTTAATGTCCCTTCATCTACACGTAATGACCTGACGTTTGGGATCCAGTCAGACCCGTTCGAGACGTCTCAAGTCTGGAATTCTTATCAAGATATTCCCAGAAGCAGACCTAACTACGATATTCAGTTGAACGATTCCGCAAACCTCAGCAACAATGAATCTCATAATATGTATTCGAATAGCAGTTTCTCTCATGCAGAAACTGCACCTGTTACGAATAATTTATGTACAACAACTAGAAGTATTTACTCGAATCAAAGTAATGCTCCTTACGGTACACTTTTAAACAATACTCAGACAAACACTTACACCACTGAAAGAAATTATTCAACAAACGCTGCGAACAAAGATGTGACAGCGTCCTTGGGACAAATGTCGCTGGACGACAGAATTTCCGAATCATTGAATCTGAGATCGAAGGATACAAACAGAGAAAATATTTACGCCAACACGTATAACGAAACACATTCAACTTCGTCGAAATATTCGTCCAATGACACGAGTAGCGTTAATAGGTACAAGGAATTTCCAATTTATAATAACCATGAGGCTAATCTCGCGCAACAACAGTTCATTCTAGAAACAAAAGATTACTATAAAAAATTGTCAACGCCGACGGAAGTAACGGTGGGGGATCATTACGAGAAAAATATCTACGTGCCTAAATATGAAGAAGAGGGCGAAAAGCTAAGGAACTTCAGCGATTCTTTAGAGAATTCCAAGAACTATTCCGCGTTGAAATATCAAAATGTCGATTTTGATTTGTACGCGTATTCTGATGGTTATGGGTTCAGTGCGTCAACTTCACGTGCAGGTGGCGCTTACGACGAGGTGGCTGAAACTGCGAGTAATATTTACAGTGAGATTGGTGAGAGCGCTCGAGACATATATTCGGGTAGAGCGAATTATACAAACACGTGTTTGTACGACGAAGTGTATGATGAGGCCACTCCTAGACCGCATAGACCGGCGCCTCCTTGCCCTTCTAAACCCAAATAGCAACAATAACATTCCTAGCATGTAAAAAGTTATAAACATTATTAAGTCCAGTATTCGCTTTTAGTTTTACTATATTAGAAAGATTTAATTTGAAAGAGCAATATCTGATGGTGTCTCAATGTCTTTAATCTATAAAAGTGTCCTTTCTGAAAATAAGGTGGTATTATTACTGGTACTTGACTTCCGGGTACCATAAGTTTTTTTATTGCCTTGAACATAGCTTAAAATCACATTGGGGATAATGATATATCTTCAGAATATGAAAGGTTAGATTATCTATTATAAAAACTTAGCAATAATTATAATTAATTGTGTAACCACATCGACGGATACATATCTATAGGCTTTCATAACGGACTGTGATCAAAAACTGAAAGCGAGTTTTGGCTTTACTGCTAATTAATATTATGTGTGTATATATTTTCCTCTAGTTTATTGTATACCCAAAAGATATTGCAACGTTATGTACTCTGAATAATTTTAGTCGATTTTTCATAGTGTATGTCCTAAACGATACGATATTTTAGTTGCTTCTAGTTAGGGCATAACTTTAAAAGTTATAAATAATCATTTACTTAGAGCAAATGTGACAAATGCATAGATCGAAATATTTTTTTTACATTATGCATAATACGAAAGGAAGACAATTTTGTTTTGATATGCGAGTGTGAGTTTGTAATTAATTTATCATATAAACGGTGTTATAGATTATCTTGTGTTATGTGAGATTTAAAAAACTATAATTACTACAATTGCAATTCTTTTTATTATCTGATTTGTTTTGTGCGGTTACATACTACGAATAAACAACTTATTCCCTCTTTTCGTATTATGTAACGAAACGATTCGTTAATCAATTGCCACAAAACCGCTTTAAATAACGGGACGTTTTATAGTATTAGGATCCGACGTTTTATAGAAAATAACAGAATATGAATCATCTAAGGAAATTTTGAAAGACACCGAAGATACGTCATACCTTAAAATCAAGAACAACAAAGTCTGAATTGTGTTGCTTTTGTGAAATCGATCTTATTTACACTATCACCTGCATGGCGACAAGAAGTCGTTTGATTATAAAGCTTAATTTAGACTATTTAGATTCTTACATTACAATGGAGAAAGAAAAGAAAGCACTGTATTGTTATATATAAGCTTAAAATGATATTTACGTGGTGATATTTTCAGCTCGAATATTAGAAGACTATTATAGACATTAATGTGTGTGTGCGCGCTTTCAATTATTTATTAACCCTGCGTTGAATCGCAAAAGAATATCCTATGTTATAAAATAGTTATACCTTAAAAACTGATTTAAATCTGGAGAGCGTTGATTGGATAACTGTATCGATATTGAGTAAGGTGTTCAACGGCCTCAAGTTTTTCGGGATAGTCTCGCAATAGTAGTTGTAATCTCGCATTGTAATAAAGTTATTCCACATATGGCTTAATTCGTCTCGCAAGTCTTGAATTCTTGTAAGAAACTTTCAAAATCTGAGAAAAATATGTGAGACTCATAAATACACCTTACATATGGGTGTTTTAATCATGAGAGATGTTATGAATAAGGCCGTAAATAGTTTCAGTCAGTTTAGACGAAAATATAATGCCTAGTCAATTGAACGGAAATTATTTGATCTATTTTTTTAGTTTTATAAGACATCATCAGAATAATTTGAAACTTAGGATGTTATGAATGATTTTTTCGTTATTATTTGAATGAACATTGAAGTGATAATTTAATGAACATAATATACACGGCACGGCATATAGAATTTTGTTGAGCGATTGTTATGTTTGATCTGTGAGGATCATACGTGAAACTCCCGTTCGTGAGATTTGGGAGGAGAAAAATTCAGCTGAACGAGGCAACTAGTAAATTATTATTATATTATTAATTAATTAATCCAACTGCAGTTATTTATCATCTATAATTAATTAAAAATATGTAATATCTGCTGAAGGGGCGCTATATCATACTCAGTTAAAAATTACTAATATATTACCTAGGTTGTGTGGTTACGATAGAATAGACAGACACTCACGCTTTATAGATACACAATATATACACATTTTTTTTGTAATTGATGAATTCAAGTGTCGGATAAACTTTAACAAATTAAATAAGTTCCGTTTTCCATTAGTACTTCTTCCTCCGTCTTTCATTAAAACTTGCCATTCTTTTTAAGATTTTTTTCTTTTTAGAACGATATATTAAAAAAATGCTATCCCATAGTAACATATTAGATTTCGTCTATATCCCACTGGGCAGCATGTAACCCAAACTCGACATATTTCTCAAAAATTAAATATATCAAGTTCTATAGGTACCATATGTTATATACATCTAAGAATTTTAAAATACATTGTTCATCTTTTGATTAATATTGTTTCTTGTTTATCGAAAATTTTTTCGATAGTTTATGAACATGTAAATAAAGTAACTACCTGTTAAAGTTTACATAAGTATAGTTTACTGATCTAAGAACTATCTATTATTTCAAAGTGTGTACATTAACATGAAGGTGGTTTGTGTGGTGGCATTTTTGAGTAAAACAAATAAAAAATATTATAAGACTATATTTAAACTAATACTACTAATATATTGTGCTCAATTGGGTTTCGCACAAGTTTTAAGATTTTTTTCGGAATTATGACTGTCTTTTGATGATAAAAAACGAATAATATGTTCTTTCCAATTTGAATTGAAAGTTAACAAGCTTGATCCAAGTTCCTGTTAGGGCCTTTTTGAATTTCGCGTATAATTTTGGCAATTATTATTTTATTGTAGAAAAAAGGGATATTTAAACGTCATAATTTTATTGTGTATGATCAGTTTTGCCACAAAATACAATATGTAGATGTATTTCTAGTTAAATTATTTAGTATTTCCAAAATGTCGCATTCGTTTTTAAGTTTTTTTTTTGTAAAAGATTATCAATGCCTTAATTGTCATCACATGGTGCCTCACCAAAGTACCTGCTAGATAAGTTGACTATAAAATATAGGACCATTTGTAACTCTGCGTTGTATTGCTATATTAAAAACAATAATATCAAGGCCTTAAGATGACGGCTATCGAGAGGACACGTCGTCCTATTATTTTCAAGATTCTATTTTGTGCTCATTTGTTTTGATGAATGTGTAAAATATAGATAATAATTATAGTTTAACAAGAATGCGGGAAAATGTATAATGTATGGTAGTAAGGTCGTAAATAAAGGTGTATTGAATGTATTTTAAATACAATTCAAAATGCAATATTACCGAGCTATTTTGTTTGATACTTTTGTAATTTGCGTAATAATATCCAGTGATTTTGCTATTTTATTATTTACGATTTTAAAAAAACGGTAAGACAATTTCTTTTAAAATTTACTTATTGCCGTCTCTGTATACCTATGTTAAGTATAGAACAACTAACATAAATAATACTTGTTTTTTTGTACAGTTTTATTTATAACCAGTCTCTAACATTTAATGAATGTTTTGATTAATATATATAATATAATTCTATATTTATAGGTACCTAGGTTACTGGATTAGGATGGCTGTATTAAACATCAAAAAATGTTATGCCATTATATTAAAAATGCCATTTCTACGTCTATTTTATAAAATACACATTTATCATGTTGATGGTTGATTTGACTGTTTGAGGTGTTATACGTTATTATTTTTACAAACCTTGACCATTTTTGTGTATCACATACGTTATGTGTATGTGTGTGAGTTTCATCAAGAGGTAGCTATATCATATTTAATGATTGTTATATCGCATACGAGATTTGAGATTACTGCTATATTTTTACACTGTTCCTTATCCATCGACAATGCCATCTCAACGTCTGTGGTAGTGGGGAGCACAAGAATTGTGTTTCACAGCAATACGGTTTAATATTATACCAACAATTATTTCCAATACAGACCTTTTCCACTTAAGAGGAGCTAAGAGAGAATTGAAATTTTGCCAAACAATTTTCAATTATCTTGTCTCGATTCGCTTCGCAACGCCGGTGAAAACTGAGCTTTATACATTTAAATATCGTTTATTTTTACTGCAGTTTTTTAAGGGAAATTATTACGTTTTCGTTGTAAAATATCAGTTTTGTATGCTCCTTTGGTCGTTTTGTGTAGAAAAAAGATTTAAACTTTAAAATTGTTTAGTCAAAATAAGCAGTAGGTATATTCGACTTTAACGTTTTTAACACACTTTATACGTACTTATGTATGAAACTTTATATCTGATATTTTTTTTCACTTTCGGACGTCTGAAATTATGCAAACGTATTAAAATGGGATGATGACAATACAATAATTTCATGATTGTACCTTAGTATTCTCACTGGAATCACCACAGCTCACGATCAATATGCGTTGTTGTAGTTTTTTTTTTTTAATTTATATTCATCGATAATACGATTTGTTTTTGTCAAAATATTCGTAACTTAAGACATTATAGTAATACGTATATACTCTACTTGTACAAATGTACATTACGTACCTAATAATAAACCTGTACCTACTTGTATAATATTTACGAAATAAATTAATAAAAACCTTTTCCTTTGTTTTATTTTTCAACCGACTTCAAAAAAAAGGATTCAATGCGTTACCTCAGAACTTTTTTATAGGTGTACCGATTTTGATGATAATTTTTTTATTTGATAGTTGGTGCTTCTCATGTGGTCTTATATGAATTTGATTAAGATCTGACCGTAGACCGTAGACTGAGTAGTTTTTGAGTTATCCTTAATAATGCGTATTTAATTGACTTCGGCTACATGATGATGTTCTCATTTTATTTACATTGAAGTCGGTTGTACAAAATTTTTTATTTTACCATTTGTAATGACATGAAGTCAAATGCATTTTCTAATTAGGTTTCCTCAAGAAGTCTTCTTCACAGCCGAGCACGTGTTTTGAGATTTTTTTTTGTTAAGCCACATACTATCTAGGTACTTTCTATAATGTTTTTACAAAAACATTGGGTACTACTA